CGTGCCTTTATCCTTCAACTCTGTCTCTACTCCTTTCAAATCAATTTTGCCTTCCGCTTGCTCGCCACTGGGTGTAGATGGACATCTTCAAGGGAAAACTAGATAGTTTTCTTCAAGAAGTGCCGGACCAACTGGGCTGTGGTGGACATGTGGGCCTGCGGGCCGCTCCAAGCAACAGCCTGTTGGACAAAGTTACCACAAGTCAAGCCTGGCCTTGGGACGGGATTGGGGAGTAGAAGAACTCCCAGAACCACATTCCAGGTCCAGGTAGGACGTGTTCAACCCCCGTGTCGTGCAGTGGCCTGCATGTTGATGTAGGCCTTTGGTGCTAGTGTTCTGTGTGATATGTTCTTGCAATCTGGAGGAATTGTGTGGAATTAAGGCGATGCAATAGTGCCATAAATAAGAGGCGATTGGGGGTGTTGTCCGGGTGCTTTTCCTCCTGGGCCTCCTAAGCCAGGTTGACAAGCCTGCCAGCTTGGCACAGTCGAGATGCTATGAATTAGGTCCCTGTTTCAAGTAGCGTTACGGAATCAAGCCTTGATTGTGCGGGTAACACTGTGTGGCTGGACTTGGTTCGTGAGGATAGCACATGTGGGCTGGACTTGGTTCACAAAGAAAGCACAGTGGGGCTGAACTTAGTGTGTGAGTGTGTATTTACTATTTGTATTTACTATGTGTGTCTGCAGAATCAAGCTAGTTAGCTCTTGGACCCCGCCTTTCTAACCAATCTATTGTTCTTCTGTTCTGTCTACTACACTCACTTCTCTCGTGTGTACACACACCCAGGAAGCAGCCCGTAGCAGCTGTCTAACTCCCAGGTACCTATTTACTGTTAGGTGAACAAGGGCATCAGAGTCAAAGAAATTCTGCCCATTTGTTTCCGCCTCCGCCGGGAATCGAAACCCGGACCATTAGGACTACAACCCTCATGCATTATCCACTAACCCGCGAGGCCCCTGTGTGTGTGTTTATATATATATATATATATATATATATATATATATATATATATATATATATATATATATATATATATATATATATATATATATATATATATATATATATATATATATAAAATGCAGTAGATATAATAAAGGAAAAATAGATTGGTTAGAAAGGCGGGGTCCAAGAGACTAATAGCTGGATTCTGCAGATACAAATAGTAAATACTTACTGTCCTCCCCCAGACAGCCTACGCCTGAGTAGAAGCGAGGTTCCTCATGCATTTCCGGTAAACCTTCAAGACGTTACGTAATGGGTGGTGAATGATGCTAGGCTAGTGTGTGTGTGTGTGTGTGTGTGTGTGTGTGTGTGTGTGTGTGTGTGTGTGTGTGTGTGTGTGTGTGTGTGTGTGTGTGTGTGAGGGTGGGGGGGAGGCGCGCGCCCGAATTAATTTTATTTAGCCAAGTGGGTGATTGTGTGTGGGATTTAGAGGGAAAAGAAGGGTGTATGGTAGTTCTGGTGGTGAGTTGCTCATCATGGGGGGAAGTATTGTTCCGGAAAGAAAGGGAATTTTGACATGTGCTTCGCAAGGTCACGGGGAAGAATGTGAATGAATGGCATGTTTACTGAGGCCGGGGCATATTGCACGCAACGGCAATGGAGAAGACAGTGGTGGTGGTGGTGGTGATTACAGATGCTGATGGTGTTTGTGATTTCAATTGACAATAGTGATGCTGATTGAGAGGAGGGGGAGGGCGGGAGTGGGTGGGGGTTAGAGAAGATGGTTGTGAAGGCTGTTGTGAACCTGTGATGCTGGTGTTGATAAGTTGGCATTTGATGCGATGAAAGGATTGTTTACAGTAGAGAAACTGGGTGCTTGAGTAGTGAGTGGTGGCGAAACTGTGTAGTATAAGAGTTACGTTGTGCGAGAGAGTAGGTCATCGTAGAGTTACGTTGTGCGTGAGAGTAGGTCATCGTAGAGTTACGATGTGTGAGAGTAGGTCATTTTAGAGTTACGTTGTGCGAGAGAGGTCATCGTAGAGTTACGTTGTGCGTGAGAGTAGGTCATCGTAGAGTTACGATGTGTGAGAGTAGGTCATTTTAGAGTTACGTTGTACGAGAGAGCAGGTCATCATAGCGCTCCCCTTGGAAGACAGTATGCCTCACTGGCCTAATATATTTTGTCCAGCATTTATATTGATAAAATTGTTGAGATCCGAAATGTCACGTTGTCGAAGCCTATGTTTGAGCCTGTGCCTCAACATTAAGGTTGTGCTTGGACTGTTCTAAGGGCAGTAGTGTGGCGCCCGGGCGGTGCCTTTTGGCCAAACAAGAAAGAAATGTGGCTATCTTGTGGCCTCTAGCCTTGTAATACCTTCGTTGTGAGGCAAAGTCTCAAAGGTATTGTAGATGGGGAATATCAATAATGTGTTAAATATATCAACATAAAACAATGTACAGTATATAAATTCGATAAGTTTAAATTAAAAAGACCTGGGTAAATGTTGGTTTTGAAACGGCGTCGATTTCTGGAACAGATTACAGAGGAACATGCAGACGTGGGATCACTAGATTGATCCAAGCGTAGGTTACATTCATCCAAAAGTTTGGTTTGCTATGGATAGGAACTTCCATATGCCGTTAACTTAACTCTTGGATTCCTTTAAGACTGGTGAGCCACAGTATCCAAGGCACAAAGCAGTTCTTTTGACGCAAGAAAACGGTTTCTCCTCGCCTGCCTTTCTCCACCGCAGGCTGTGTGGCGTGTATACATGTTTTGAGAGGGTTCTCCAGGTCTTCCTGGCACCACCAGCGCTCCGGGGGGATTGCTTCCTGCACTCCACAGGCCATCCTGGAAGTGGCGCCACACGCCCAAGGCTAGGCCGCCCCCGCTGCTTATACAACAGTCACTGCTTACACACACATGCACAAACATTGAAATTGAAATAAGTTTATTGAGGTAAAATACACACAAAGGGATGAGGTAGCTCAAGCTATTCTCACCCCGTTCAGTACATCGTGTTAATACATACATAGACACATCACAAACAATAAACATATTACCAAACATTCTGAGAGATAAACATGTACATTTCCTCCTTTACACAAGTATGCACAAACATGACGCGCTCTCCCCCCTGCGTCACCTCCTCCGTCACCGTACACCTTGTCTTCTGTTACTTGATCTAAAACTAATAATAAAAACATTCCCCAAATCATAAATTTTGACAGTTTGGGAGAGAGTAAAACAAAATATGGAAGAATGGTAATAAGACATTTATTGCTTTGTTCATCTGTGCACAAAAAACTAATTACACGTATTCTTGACACCTGGAGAGGCAACAAGTATAAGAGGTTCAGCGGTAGGCGAGAGTGGTGACCTTGGATAGTTGGGTACTATCCAAGTACCTGGTACCATAAAGCACCAGGTACCTACCTGGTACTTTAACCACTCGATCACCGTGACTGTACAAAAGTCATTGGTAGCCGAGGCTATATCCCCAATGACCCGACAACACTTGGTGGTAAGCTTGGGCATAGATATTTCATCGAATCACCTTTGTGGGGCCACGTGAGCAACACAAATGCAAACAAATATATTGTTCGCATTTGTGTTCCTCATGTGGCCCCACAAAGTGAGGTGATTCAATGAAATATCTATGCCCAAGCTTACCACCAAGTGCTGTCGGGTCGTTAGGGATATAGCCTCGGCTACCAATCATGTTTGTACAGTCACGGTGGTAGAGTGGTTAAAGTACCAGGTACGGCAAGGTGCATAGTGTTCCTGGCTGTCCAGGTTCGAATCCTTCTGGGGTGTGGAGTTTTCAGTTGCATATTGGCTTGGGGACCATTCAGGCTTGTTTGCATATACAGTATAATAATATATATATATATTAACAAAATTTTATACATACACACACTCGAAGGGATAAAGTTAATCTCTCCTTGTTAATGACAGTCGTGTTTATATATTTGGTCGGTCGATACGCAGGTGCTTGGTGCATAGAAGTCTTGTACACTTGATATAATGTGTCACTTGCCAGCCTAGTACTGGTAACAAAGTCAGGTAGTTGACTAAGTTAGCTGCTACATCTGCTGTCCTTTATAATGTGTATATAAGTTCTGTCAGAACTAAGCCAGGTGTTGTTGTATAGTCTTTTTAATTCATTCGGTATCATGTCATAATAGAAAGTGCCATTTTTATTATATAATTATTATGCGGGGTGTTAGAATATGATTATTATTATTATTACAGTATTTTAATTGTATTATAGATAATAGAATTAGTGTATTATCATAATTAATACAGTGTACAGTGTATTAATTAATAATAATACACTGTACATAATTAATCAGTGTACAACACTTGAAACTTTGTAATCAATGTCAATTATAAATTTACTAATATTTATGAGTATTTATTGTACTGAATGTTGTCGTGTGCTCACTGTGAATATATATAATATAGGAAAAATTTACTATACATATAGATTTTATATACTGTACATAAGTTGGTAGTTAATTAATACTTGTTAATTAAATATTTTTTAGTATTGTTTTTTTGTGATATTTTGTCATTTGTCAATGGAAAAGATCGATTTTAAAATTATGGTAATGTTTCGCCACATCCTCTATTGTTAGAGGTGCATTTGTTAATTATCTGTGGGAGGTTGTGGAGTGGTGTTGGTACTCACTGATCTCACAATGTTGAGAGTTGTAGATGCAGCACACTCTTACAGTGAGCTCTCCCTGTACACTGGCATGCTCATACACATGCCTCTTATTAGTTGTAGACAATGGGACGTATTCCTGTTGCTAGTGATATGCGCTGGTATGCCTATCCCTCTTGCTAAGGGCACACTCACTGCTACGACTTCATGTGGGTCCAATACACTACTGCTGGAACCACTGTATTTATCTCTTGGGCGGTGAATACATTGATGGCGATAACACCACCACCCACTCTGCTGGGTGTGTTAACAACTAATATCACTGTTGCTTATGAGTGACGTAAAGACAGGCAGTAATTTGGTTTTCTATACCCCTTCCAGAAGGAGCTGAGCCTCGTTCGACGAAGCAACCGGGTGCCTGGTCAGAGGAAGAGTTTCATCGCCACTACCTCTCCAACACTTCCGCGATGCCACTCTCCACTCAGCCAGAGTAAGTTGCAGCTTTCCTTTACTGACTTAATTTTATAGCTCCTCTTCTGACCCATAAATCTGAAAATAAAGAAATTGTTGGACCAACTTAATACAGTACAACTCAAACTTGGCCTCAGACTAGGCTTTGGGAGTAGAATTCCTAGAACCCCCTCTAGGTAAACTCCGGGTCCTGGAGTATTATCAAGTCATTACACAAGTTGATAATAGTCCAGGATAAACCAAAGCATCGTCAGATTTGTGGCTTGGGCGTCTAATTTTCTGCCACAGTATTATGACTTATCTACAGCTTCTCTCCCTTGGCCATAGTAAGTCAGTTACTGTACTTCTTTCTGTTACCAGTGCTGTATAAACATTTAAAATTACATAAAGCTACTGGTAGTCAATTCTAGGCACAGCACAGTACTTACGTAAGGTGTAGTAAGTTTGATATAGTTCTGTCACACCTGTAGCACAAAGGTTAAGAGTATAGGAAGTACTGTAGTATGCAGAAGGCTCATTAGCCCAAATGTACATTATTGTACAGTATTGTATTCTTTATTGCACACTTCATCCATTCATAAGGTCAAGAGTGGACATCTGCAGCCATTGCTATATGGGATATATGTTTTTTTTTGAGATATATACAAGAGTTGTTACATTCTTGTACAGCCACTAGTACTCGTAGCGTTTCGGGCAGGTCCCTGGAATACGATCCCCTGCCGCGAAGAATCGTTTTTTCATCCAAGTACACATTTTACTGTTGCGTTAAACAGAGGCTACAGTTAAGGAATTGCGCCCAGTAAATCCTCCCCAGCCAGGATACGAACCCATGACATAGCGCTCGCGGAACGCCAGGCGAGTGTCTTACCACTACACCACGGAGTAAAATGATTGACACTGTATTGGTCAGGAAACCATGAGAAACAGTATGTCACTCAAAAGAGTACTAAATGTCTTGGTTTTATCATTGAGTGGCATCTCTTGTCTGATAGATTATAGTTATCTGGCGTATTAATTTTCTTAGTTAAACATAAACATATCTCTCTTAAACATGAGGTCCTATGACATGATAACTCTTGGGTATATTTTTTTTCCCTTTTAAAATATTTTATATTTTGACTGTTTTGTATAGGGTTCCAGTTGTAATGTTTTCAATTTATCCTTGGCACAGGTGCTGCCTTTTCTTTATTAAAAAATCTAATGCTTTCTATGGCCCACTGTAAGACTTGCTTTAAATCAGTTTGGAAGTTTGTCATGTACTCTATGGATGCTTCTTTCTTTCAAATTTTAGAGTAAATTAGTACTCTGGAGCAAAGAGCTTTGCACTACAGAGGTTCCCAATTTCACTTTTGTGGCTTGTGGTTCACGAAAGACTATACCACTGTCTTAGACATCCAGGATGGACTGAAACCTCATCACTTCTTTTATTTTCAGATGTTTGGGTTGAGCGTCTAATTTTCAGCCAGGTTCTTGTGACTTGCTGTCTGCTTCTGACATTAATTTTTGTGCTGAGTTAAAGCTGTTCCTTTCATTTACATTGTTTTTATTATATCTTGGTCATATTTGCTGGAGGGCTTCATAAAGTGTGCATATATTACACTGGCCTTTTATCTGTCTTTCAGCATGTCAAAGACCAAAGCAACTGAGAGAGCTAGGCATGTCCTGCTCTAAAGCCATGTTGCCCACTTTTGTGTAATACGTAGTCACAAATCGGTGTGTTTTTTAATCTAGCATCTTGGCATGCTTTCAACGAGTTTTTTATGGTGTGTGATTTTAGTGATATTGACCCATAATTTTTCCTATTGCGTTGCTTTCATCTTTGTGAAGCAGAGCTGTTTCACTTGTTTTTAAGAGCTTCTGAGATGTAGCCAGTATCTAAGCTTTATCTCCAGAGAATACTTAGAACTACAGTATTCTTTTGCAGTTCTTGGTGAATACAGAATTTTCTGAGTCTCTAATTTGGGTTCAATGTGTGGGTATATTGTCTATGGCTCAAAGTTCAGTAGGGTTTGTGACATCTTAAACTTGAGTCAAGATTGATTTCCCATTCTTGAAGATTTAATTTGGGTTGTCAATTTTCAATGTGTTCAGATTTTCAATGAAAATAGACATACTGTACTGTGTCCAATACCATGCAAATTAGCAAAATATTAGTGAAGATTCCATCTCCCTTAACCATTGTGCAAAGACCCAATATTAGAAGTAGCTTTTGCATTTGATTTTTAAATAGTACAGTAGATAGTATTTTGGGATTATTTTTTAGTTATAATACACATTTTGTTCCGGCTCCTGGGCATTGCATGATTTTAATTTTAAATCGATACTGTAATTACTGTATATTTATTCAGCCATTCTTGTCATTCTAGACCATTGGTTCTCAACTTGGGGCTATGTATCCCTCTGGTTGAGAACTGCTGCTCTATACACAGGGTAACTCAATAATTTGCTTTGTTTACCTGGCTACCTACCTTGTGGCTACCTTGTGTAGCTTGTGGGTGATCAACGACCCCGTGGCCTGGTTTCCGACCAGGCCTCCCAGTTGGTCATCTGGTCAACCAGGCTGACCAGATGACCTTGTAAGCAAGCACTGTCTTGTTTTAATTTGCACCCTTTTATCCTTTTCCATATTAGTACGAGTCTTGAGCATGTTTCTACTGCTGCTGTAAAATTTAGTCAATTGAAGACCATTTGTCAGAACTTCTATTGTAGACAGTTGAGATATAATAAACATACATTTAAAACCCAGAAGTGGACTTTCTCTCATGGGGAACTTGTTCAGATGAAACATGTTAATTTAAGTCTTAGGGGGAAGCTTAAGAAGAGTACATGTTAAGGAAGTCCTCATCTTGGAGTGTTACAAAAGATTCTAGTGGGGTAATGCAGGTGTCTTGGGGAAACCCATGAAGCGAGTTAATTCCATCACACTGCTCCAGTGCCCAAAACGCACTGCATATTGTACTTAATGCATTGTACTTGTTTTGCCTATATATTTTCCTCTCTTCGTGATCATATGTATGTACATTTCTGTAAATAAATTATTATTATATCATGGTCCATGGGTTAAGGTGTGCATCTGGGATTACCCAGGATGCTGGTTTGATCCACGTCCTGCTCCAGTTATTTTTTCATACTGTATAACCATTCGTGTGTACGAGTCGTGTGTAAATACCCAAGTGTAATTACCTAAGTGTAGTTACAGGATGATAGCTACGCTCGTAGTGTCCCGTCTTCCCAGCACTGTCATATAATGCTTTGAAATTACTGATAGTTTTGGCCTCCACCCCCTTTTCACCTAACTTGTTACAACAGTCTACCACTCTGTTTGCAAAAGAGAATTTTCTTATATTTCTTCGGCAACTTTGTTTAGTTAGTTTAAATCTATGACCTCTTGTTATTGAAGTTCCAGGTCTCAGGCTTGTGTGTGTATCCCACTTATTTGATATTTGAACAATTTCTTTAAATTACAAGAGTAAGAGTTTTTAATGATGTCGCATCACATCACTAAAATCAATAAATGGTTCAACAGGTAGCCCCATGGAGTCTCCTCGGAACATGTCTCCATTACAGCACTTTGCATTTGCTCCCAAGAGCCGAGATGGGCGTCGCTGGTCGGTGGCCTCCCTCCCATCGTCTGGCTATGGCACAACGCCAGGCTCCTCCAATGTCTCGGTCAGTTCATACCCTAATGCTTTTTTTGCTTGCAAAATATCTGCCAGTGTTAGTGATAAGAATTTTTTCTTATCAATGCAGGATTTTTGTCATCAATAACAATCTCGGATTGCTTTTAATGCTTCTTGCATAAAGTTCTACTGTGGTAGGAGGTTAAAGATTATAACAATAGTCTAAAATATTTTTTATTTTCATAGATCAAACTAAATAACTTTCATATAATGTAAAAATCATTAAGATATGGGTATTTAACATTTGATTACACAACACTGTATATTCTCTTGTAAAGTTTTGGCTTCTAAAACCAAAGCACAAATTCAGATTAACACAAGTTAATAGCTGCTTTATAAATGCAAGATTTTCTGCTAGTAGGTGCATACAGTTTTCAGCACATTAACCTCTACAAATTTATTCAGTTATGTACACATTCCATTCATAGCAAAAACAGCTTTATCCATTATACTGTATATATATATATACAGTATATATAAAAACCCAGCCTTTTTGTTAAGAAATATGTCCATCACATTGGCATATTAATACCTTTAATATACTGTATACAGTATAATACTTAAATATTTTTTGTTAAATGATAAAATGTAATTATTCTTAAGATCTGATGTGTGTGGGTACACCCCACAACACAACATTAACAGTGATAAAGTATTCTATACAGTAGCAATGATACAGATATTCTGCACACAGCATTAAAACACTTGTCTGGAACTGTTAATTCACGTGAGGGCTGATGTCTTTTAAGGTGTAGTTTTGTATGATAGATATTTTTTTGTTTATTCCTTTTATTTATGAGATGTATTTTATTTTAGTCACAATGCTCAAGCCAAGAAAGACTTCACCAGATTGGGGGCCAGGTGGGAGCCAGTGGTGGATCAGTAGGGGTTGGCACTCCATCCAACGTAGGTTCACCAGCCGTAGATGAAGTTCGTCATGCCCATATGCGTCATTTTTCCTCTGGCGAGAGTAACCCTTCCATAGATGAAGATGGTCGTCGTTCCCCAATGAATCGACCACGATCGCGGTCTTTAAGGTACGTTTTTAAGCTTTGTGTGTGTATGTGTGTGTGTGTGAAGACTTCTTTAAATGAAATCTATCAGGCAGGTTGGTCTCAATTTGCCCAGTAAACCTTGAATACTTGAAAGGATACTAGGGTATTCTTATTGAGGACATTTCAAGGACTTAAATATAGCAAAATAAAGTAAATCAACAGTGAACACTGCTTTAGCTTTAATGTCACAAACATTGGCAAAACAATTACACCAACAATTTTTTTTTTCCCAGTAGTGTTATTTTCTGATTGTTTATGCCTCCAAAGTACAGAAATAGCAGTTATTTCCCCTCAAAGTTTGCTTTGACCTTTGCCCAAGACAACTTCCTGAAAGACGTCTTGAAGGACGTCTGAAAGACTATCGCTTGTGAAACAATGGGTAAGGAGGTACTTGCTCTAGGTAAGGAGCAGGCAACCTTCAAGTACCTTCAAGACATCTTCCCTAAGCTGTCTGAGGAAAAGATCAATGCAAAGTTTGAGGGGAATAGTAACCATTTTCTATACTGTACTTTGTAGGGCATAAGGAATCAGAAAGTAGCACACTACCCAGAAACAAAAATTGTTCCTGGGTAGTTCCATTGTGTTATTTATAAAGATATTTATACTACAGACTTCATCGCAGGAGCATGTGGGAAATGGATTTTTTATTTTCTGACTTTAGATTGTTCTGTTGTGTGATAATGAGAAATATCAGTGACTTAATCCCATAGATCTGTACCACTTTGCATCACACTTCACTTCATTATTTCCACTTCATCAAAAATATATGTTTGTCTAATAACGACACAAAAACTGTAGGGTAACCTTTACTGTACAGTGGAACCTTGATTCAGCGAACCTAGATTCGGCAAATGTCTGGTTGGAATGTACACTTTGCTGGATGGATTTATTCACGGATTCAATAAGCAAGAATTTGCTGAAGTGGGGGGCCAGGATGTGCAGATTTGCTTAGGATGTTGGGAATAGAGTTCACAGAGTGGTGGGAAAGTTGTCTGTCATATCATGTGTTAAAATAAAGATTTGCTTGGTGAAATCAGCCCATTTGAGCATGGGGAAATATGAGGGCATGAATGGTCACTCAGTAGGGCTCCAATCACCTTCATAATAATTTTCATAGATGGACACAAGATTAGAAGAAAGAGTTGCAGGCCTCATCAAAGACATCAAGCATATTTAAAACAAAATTATATGGTTATTTTTTATATCTAGTTGCAGAGGATTTTGTTCAGTAAAATATGGGTCATTTTATCTCTGAAAACGAGGCTTTGAGGCTATGGCATGGCAAATATGGTAGGTGTGGTTAAATCAGTCTACACAAGTTGTCTTGCTAAAAATCTTAATATGGCTTCAATCATATTTTAATGATTTGTGTAGATGGAAGAGACGTTAGAAGAATGAAACACTGAAGCAATATATTTTTCTTGCCTTGAATTTTTTTTTCTCACAAATTTCTTAAGATGCATCTCTGTTTGCAATGAATCCCTCATTCCAGTGAATTAAGGTTGGTCCCATATACTGTACTGTAGTTTGCCGAACTGAGGTTGCACTGTATTTTCTAAATCATTTTGACAGGTATAGGAGAATTTTCTGATTTGTTAATGAATTCAAAGAAATAAGATAGTGTCAATATTGGTGGACTAAGTTTTCAGGTTTATAACCACTATTAATGAAAGAATCTCTTTAGCACCATAATGCACTATAAGTGACTTAACTTTCATTAAATCTCAATTTAGGCAGAGATTAGTTATTATCATGGACTCCATGTACAGTATTCCTCTGGACTATACCAAACAAAGAATCTAAAGCTAATTGAGGAAATGTGCAAGAAATATGTAAGAAATATGTAAGAAAATGGTGCATATTTACGAATAGAAATTAGTCCATGTAATATGGTTGGTAGGGCATGGCAATCATTTCATAGTTTATAAACAGGATTCTGAAGGAATAAACCTGGAAGCAATATGTATAAAAATATAAATATGGAGAAGCTTGCTTAGGGCATCTTAAAAAAAAAAAAAAAAGTGAAAAATACTTGTACTATATATGAAAATGAATCTGTAATTTAACTTTTGAGATTGTAAACAAAGCAAAATTCACTAGGAGGAAGTTATTGACCTAATGTAATGACGTGATGTTGAAACTCTACATATTTGTAGTTTAGAGAGTAATCTCCTACAAAGCTGATGATGACAGTTTTCACTTTGATTAGATTAAGGCTTCAATTCTAGGCTCTCCCCATATTTTTCTACAATACCAACACTTCTGGGGAAGTACAGCCCATCCTAATACAGCTAGAAATGCAACAATAATAATGGTTTCAAATACATTTCTGCCTTCATATTTGAGTTTTTAAAAAGACTGGTGACATTCCAAATCAGAAGATATTACAGTCAGAAGAACTAACCAGAAATTTGTATTAGAAACAGCATAATTTTTTTTTTCCTGAAAGATGGGACACAGCAAGCAGCATTACAATGGAGTAGATGGCTTAAGAAAGTGTAGTTAGATTTATCTTATTTTGTTAACCCAGATGCTTGACAGACATTAATTTGCAATAGAAGTAGACACTAAGCATTAGCAATCATATAAGTAAGAAGAGGTGTGTGGACATGACTCAATTTTTCCTTTTCTCCCTTATGTGATAGATATTTTCATTGGTCAGAAATTGGTAAAAAGAGAGGATGATTTGCAATGTACGAGTTGTATATTCGTACTGCACCCGAAATTACTAATGTTCCTTTACTGTGTTTGCTTGCCCGAGAGGTTCCTCCTTCCTCCTCCTCCCCTTTCACAATGATCCACCATCACATGGACCAAGGTGTTTATTTCATTGGTCAACTTGTTTTATCATTCTGACATAAAGCCCACTTGTAGTTATTTACTTATCCTACCTATAACTTCTAATCTGTATTCCAAAACAAAATTACAGTATGTACAATACGCGAAAACCCCTTTTAATTTATTTTCGAAGCCACAGCATTTTCAAAGTCCTTTTTTTCAGGTGAACTAGATAGATACAAATTGAAATGCATCATGTGCTTTAAAAGGCTAGAGAGAATCTGCTGCTTTTAGTAGCACATAGATACTTTTGTAATGAGTTTGGTTGACTTGACAGTAATTTATTTATTAATTTTTTTTTTATTTTTTCACTTTGTGCGGCTCTAGCCTGGCCTGGCTGTGCATCTCAACACTTGAGTAAGATATGAAACTCACATAATCTCTCCCTATCCCTTCTCTTTTGCCAGTGTTCCATGACAGTTATCTCGTTTTATTTGCTATCCTGTCTGCTCATTTTAGTTACCCATTGGGAAGCACCAATCCCTTGCTGTCTACTGCTCTTTGGATTGTCACAGTTTGCCACGTGATGTAATCAGAGATCCGAGTCTTTTTTAAAGAGGAATAAGACACTTGATTGCTCATTTTTTCCATTGATTTTATTTATTGATGCCATGTTATTGCAGTACTATTATTTCTAATACTACTTTTCCATTATGAAACATTCTTTTAGTGAGTTGTCCACATTATTTATGTTTCAGGCATTAGTGACTGCCCATGTGTGTAGGTTTAGGTTTGAATACAGCAGCACTAGAAGTATCTCTGGAAAATGCTTAATGTTTGAGCTATATATATGTGAAACATATCATTAGCTTGTATTGAGAATTATAAATTACTAATGGATGAAAACTACTTTAGATAGCATGCTCAGTTTGGGAAGTGTAGTATTGTGCGGTACAAGGAAGACAGGAACAAAAGAGTACTGTACCAAGAAAGTGGTAATTGACAAATTATTCTGTAGCACAAGAGGCGGCTCCAGATAGTAGGTTAACCCTGGCTCAACAACTGCCTCACAACCTGATGAAAATATTAATTAACACATGTGTAGAGCCTGCCAAAAAGAGATAAGTAGCAAAGACAATCACTTGTTCCAGTATCTGTGAACCCTGCCTTCAGAAATTATCTTGATCTTTGGTAGGAGTAAATATGGTTTCTGCCTTAATCTAGGATTACTAGTTAATACGGCTTCCTCCTTTTATTGTTTGAGATCAGTCTGTGTGCTTCTTTTGCTGTAAATTGCTGAGATTGCTGACCAGCATATAGAAAAAAAATGGGCGACACAATATACTTAAGTTTATTAACAAAAGCAGACTAATGTCGCCATTTTGTATTCCCTGCAGACAAAGAATAATTAGGGTGTCATGGAACATCTGGAGATGACAGAATTTTAATTCGGCATAGGTTTCGAGGGGGCAAGTTGTGTTCGATGAACCTGATAGTTCTTTACTTTAACAGCCTCCAAAATAACGCGGGATGGATCACGTGTACCTAGCCAGCCGTAAAACCTTTGACGTTTTCAGTTACAGACCAATACATAAAATTGAGAAGCGGGGCTGGAATAAAAGGGAAGGCAAGCACTAGAGTATCCGACAGATGGGAAGCAGTGTCATAGTGTCAAAAGTGGAAAGAAGTGGTAAATGAGATGAAAAGGGCTCTGTCCTTGGATCCCCTATTGTTACTTGCATGCATGAATGACCTACCTGATGAGGTAAGGTCTCTTGATAAAAAGTTTGAAGATGTGTAACTGATGAGAGGGATTACAATTGAAGGTGATGCAGGAGGACCTAACCAGACTACAAGCATGGTCAGAAAAATACCTACTGGAGTGTAATGCAACAAGTCTGAGTGATAGAAGTTGGGAGAGGGAATAAGTAGCTAAAAGAACTGTACAATAAATGATAGAGGAAGTTTAATGCAAGAATTGTAAAAAAAAAAAATAGTAATAGTAATAATAATAATACAGTAATAATAATAACAATAATAATAATAATAATTAGGAGTGGACATAATGCCAGCATTAATGCTAGGGTGCACAAATATTAATAAAATTGGCAGCATATGTAAATTTGACAGTAGCAAATTGCCATTGGCACCCATACACTGCATTTGATTGCTATTGGGATCCATACACCGTACTGAATTGCCAGTGGCACCCATACATTATTCCAAATTGCTGTCAGCACCCATAAACTGCACTTTCGAAACTCGTGCTCAGAACTACATTCCATTACACGATATGGCAAGCTTCAGGAATAAGTGTTAGAAATTGAATTAAATAAAATGTATGAGGCATTCGGTATTTATTTCATGCATTAAAACTTTTAATTTTCAATAGAATTCTGCAAGTTAATTTTTCGGCAGTGATGAAATGTGGAGGGGGGGGATTTGCAGTAGCGTAGTAGAGATTGGAAAAGGGCTGTGATTGGCAAGCTTGAATTATATGTTAATAGAACAATGTATTAAATCAGCCCAAGTTTATATGTTTTAATGTATTAAATAGTAAGTTCTAAAATACTCCTGTTGTTAATTTCAACATTACACCCTATGGTTTGAAACAGCTAGTCTCTACTACGAATAAAAGACAAGCTGATCAGAACAGTCTGTGATTTAGCCAAAGTTTCCTGGAGAGATCTTGTCCCTCGCTCCTAATGACACTTCTGGAAAATATATTTATATATATGCTCACCACGTGTAAAGTAAATATTGCTGAATATTTTTGGCCTTAATTTCCCATTTGTTAGAAAACGTATTACTGTAAAATGCTTTCCCGTGAACAAATAATGTTAAGATTTTCCATTAGTTTGTGGAACAAGTATTCATATCAGTAATAAGTAATTTTGTTGCTTATAGATGCTGTTAATTGAAATTTTAACATAAATTTGTATCAAATCAGTACAGTATATTGAATTTTGTCCTTTTCATCCATCTGTTTTTCTACCAAATTATGCCTGCTTAGATTTTCTCTTTAAAGACATTTTCATTTCAATATCAGAGAACTGCGGTTGCTTCACTAGCACTAACTGATCAACCTTGGGCACAATGGTGAAATGCTTCATGTTGCTCTTTTGCCTTTAGTATTTAAAGCCCAAAGGTTTTCTTAGTGATTTGTATCAAAGCTTTAGAGTGTACAGTATTTAGTTTTCAAGACTCGGTACCTCTGATGGCATCACTGTTTTAGGGTTTCACCTTTCAATTGTTAAGAATTCAAAGCAAAGGTGCATAGCCTTTATGGCATCTGCAATAATATGCATCTTGATTCACTAGCAATGGGAGGTGGATACTCGTAGACAGGAACAATAGATACAGCATTTATGCAAATGGCTTAGTTAATGCTGCACTCGCGTCACTTTAGTAATGCACTTTATTTGGTATGTGGCGGTGTTTTATTAGTTTCAGTTCTATGTGTGTGTTGAGCTGTGTACCGCAGTATATTTATGAAGCTTGCAATGCAAAAAATTCCTGACTTTTTCTCGTCAATTGCTGTATTTTGACCAAAATTATTATTGGTGTTTTTATGAAAATGTGGTCATTGGTTTTAAATTAAACAACATCAATGTAGCTACTTGCTTATGTCTTTAATTTGTAATAAAAATAAATTCTGAAATGTTTTAAAGATTTTATTTTTAATTGTTTTCACTTTGGTGTGCTTTGTGCACAAGTACAGTTGTTGTTGCTTATATATTGTGTATATAAAGTTGTAATGGCTTTTTGTGTGCTTAAATATAGTCACTACTCTCTTATTCTGGTTATACAAATTGAGGCATTATTTATTAGAAAATTGGTGCCGTAGTATGAGTAAGATTTTGAGGCATGCTTTCAGATGCATTATAATCACATACAGTAAGATGTCTTGGTATTAGAATGCGTGCAGATTACTATATCATTAAGTAGTGTATAAACAGACCCCCATCAGTTGACAATATATGGCGAGTTTCACTGGTGCGTGTGCTAGGAAGGTAAAGCTGTGCACAGAAGGGGGGCAGAAAGTAAAGATGATTGTTTTAAGGCAGCTGAAGTTTAAATGGAGATGTTTAAAAGGTTTGCGAGTGATGAATTTAATACTGTACAATAATTAATATAGTACTGTGAGGCGAGGACATGTTAAAACAATGGAATGAAGATGGAAAAAATAATGTATATAATGATGTTGCATTATGGGAAGGGAAAATATATACAGTACTGTATACTGATGCTACACTGGCTGTCTGAAGAGGATGCAGGCACCACCCAATAACTATGGGCCACATGTCTATAACTACTGTATGTGGAAACTGAATGTGCAAGAGACTTTTTAATCACATAATTTTTGCTAGATTTGTAGTGGTTTAATTTTGTTTGTGGAAGTCACTGTTGTGGCAGTAGAATAGGGGGTGTTGAGGTGATTTGGTAAAGTATTGTAGATTGCTTGAAATGATTGCTCTCAATTTTGTTAATTTTAATTTTGGTTGAGGTAGTGGGAGGGGCGGGTAAGGCTGTCGAGAGAAGCATGTTAATGGGGTGGGCCTGTGAAGACCAGAACAGGTCACAGAGAGAAATTATGCAGGCTAAATTGTATTATCCAGGCTAATTTGGTTTGTGCATACCAAAAGATTTTGTTTTATTTTTTCTATTTTTGTTGTATTTATTGTGGGGAAGCCCTGTTGGCTCCCTGAAGCCCTCCGAGCTGATATGAGCTATACTGTATTAGTTTGGGGTCATCAGTCACAGGAGTTCTTATGCCTACCGGGAACAATGAGCCAGAACCTCGTTCCTTCAGAGAGGCACAGGGAACAATGGAATATGAGCACTTTACATTTAAAGTATGTCATATTTGCCATCGACTTGGTAAGGACCCAGAAAGTTAGGTGAATCAAATCAGATCACTGTCTGATTAATCTGTGCAATCTATGTCCCAAAAGATGAATACTTCTCCTAGAAAGAAAACAAACAAGCAACCCTCCATGCAACTAACCACTTGTAGTTATCCCCCCCCCCAAGGCTGTACCCCCTCCCTGGAGGGGGAGCTGGCTCACCACTCCAGTTCTTGAACTGTTGAGCTGGTGGTCACTTCAGTCACCTCTGGCTTCAAGTTTCTGTTCTGGATTTTTGCCCTGTGTATCTGTTCCAGCTGTGTTGTGGCCAGGTGTCTTAGCGTACAGGAGCAGCATGCACCTAGGGTGACCTTCCCTAGGTGCTCTGTGAATGCTGCCCTTGCATGTCAGGATTATCTTCCCTGGGGCATTCGGGAATCGCTCCCCGTTTGAGGCCTTCATCGCTTGTTATCTTTGCCCTTGGGGTATGTCGGGGGTCTATGGCTTTCAGCCTTGCCCCGGGTAGGGGAGTGCTATTGGCTGGGTGGGGCGCACTGCGGCTGGTGCAGCTAGCTTTACTTCAACGCAGCGGCTGATGTTTCTTTCTTACTACCAGATTGTTGTGTGTATTTGGGGGGGGGGGGGAGGGGGGGTTCATTTTCTTTTTGTTCACTGGCATTTTTGCCTGGTTTAGATGGTGATGGTCTGCTTAGCTTCTTATTTGGCAAGCCTAGATTGTGTTGGTAATCCACCTGTTTTCCACAAGGTTTCATAGCTGCTGCTGCTGGTCAGTTTGCCTGCTACCTGACAGGGTTCTACTGGCTTAACTAGCTTCAGTGTCTGGGCTTCCCATAGAGCTAATTCATGCCTACAGGCTCTGGGAAAACCCCTGTGGGCTCGGTTATAAAATGGCTATTTCTTCCGAGCCCGCTCTCGCCTTGTGCGAAGTTGAAGGTTATTCGTTGTCCCCACCTTGGGGGAAAACAATCATCTGTACTGCCTCCGTCAGGCTGCCTGTTGGGTCGGGGACACCACTGACCCAGAATCTTGTGGGCCTTATTCCCTCGCTTGTACTTCACTCATTCCTTGTCTGTTGATCTCGAGGATTAGGCAGTGGCAGGTATTCTTGGAAGAATACCAGGTATCGAGTGAACATTCTGGTTCCTTCCTGGCCGTGTGTGACTTTTGGGTGCCTGTCACAGCCGTCTGTCTCTTTTATGTCTTTAGACCTGCGGTGCTGCCGCCTCTTGGGTAAGTTCCTCCTTTTACTTTTTACTTATCTTTGGGTAGTTAGCTTCAGGGAGCCAACAGGGCTTTCCACAGAAAACCAGCAATGAATGTTATGAAACGCCATTTTCTGAGTGAGCCCCGGGGTCTCCCTGACACCCACCCTCCCTCCCTCCCTCCAGTCAGCGACTTATCATCGTTCAAGAAGTGGAGTGGTGGGCTGCCGGCTCACCCTTCCCCCTCCTACAGGGGGTGGGGGGAACGCTAATGAGTGGAAGTGCTAGTCGCATGAAGGGTTTGCCTATTTGTTTTTTCTATGGGGAGTTATTTTGATCTTTTGAGATATAGATTGCACAAGTTAACCAGACAGTAGTCTGTTTTGATTTACTGTACCTACCTTTCTGGGTCCTTTCCTGGTCCATGGCAATTATGACATATTTTAAATGTAAAGTGCTCATATTCCATTGCTCCTTGTGCCTCTCTGAAGGGACGAGGTTCTGGCTCATTGTTTCCTGTAGGCATAAGAACTCCTGTGACCGATGACCTCAAACTAATATCTTGAGGTCATCTTGAGATGATTTCGAGGCTTAGCGTCCCCCCGCGACCTGGTCCTTGATTAGGCCTCCATTTTGTTACACACCCCCAGGAAGCAGCCCATAGCTGCTGTCTAACTCCCAGGTACCCGTTTCCTGCTTGGTAACAGGGGCATTAGGGTGAAAGAAACTTTTTGCCCATTTTTCTCCGCCTCCACTGGGGATCGAACCCGGAACCTCAGGACTACAAATCCGAAGCCCTGTCCACTCAGCTGTCAGGCGCCCACAGATATATGGGCCAATATAGCACATATCAGTTCAGACATCTTCAGGAACCCTCTCGGGGCTCACCCAGAAAATGGCATTTCATTATATTCATCGCTGGTTTTTAGTATTGGAAATATTTTCTACCAATGTATACAATTTAAAAAATATATTCAGCGTAATGCCAAGAACAGAGGCAAATTTAAAATAGCAAAATTTGGTTTAGTTTCTTGCTGTTGGGGACAGGTGTAGTACTTGCCTAGTTGTACTCGCCTAAATGTTCTTGTGGGAGGGCTGAGCTTTGGCTCTTTTGTCCCACCTCTCGACTGTCATGTCAACAAGTGTACAGGTTCCCGAGCCTATTGGGCTCTATTATATCTACATTTGAAACTGTGTATGGAGTTTGCCTCCACCACTTCACTGCCTAATGCAGGCATGTCAAACTGAGAGTCCCCCAAAGGCCATATGGGTCACATTTGTGCTTTTGAGATCTATTAAAAGGTGATAGTTTAAAATTATAAAAACTGCAATTTTGGCCATTAACACTTTCGCGGACCGATGCCGCATATTCCGTCATAAAACCAAATTACAGAGTAGGCCCGATGATGCAAACAGTGTCAAATTTAATTTGTGCGATTATGGATTTTTTAATCATGCTTTCTAATGAAACAAAAATTATTGTAATGAATATACCGTATAAATTAACAATAATTACTGAAGGAATTTCATCAAATTTGGCATTGTGCAACTGTACTGAATTAAGATATCCACTTTAGGGAAATGCACCAATTGCTCTGTACTTAGACTCAGATGTTGACTTTCAAAGGCCTTTATTTAACAGTTTGAAATGATTGGAAGTCTTGCATATACAGTACTGCAATTGGATCCCAGTTTTGTACAGTTATTGAGCATGACTCGGTGAAAAAAAAATATATATATATATATGTGTGTATATCACGAAAATAAACACATGATTAAGAATGTGACAATGTCAGACCACGGAGGAAAAATGAAACAGGAAATTTCCTTAAGTACTTTCGTATATTAAATACATCTTCAGAAGGTCACCTTCTGAAGATGTATTTAATATACGAAAGTACTTAAGGAAATTTCCTGTTTCATTTTTCCTCCGTGGTCTGACATTGTCATATATATATATATATCTAGAGTGTTTGATTCGATTCTACATTGATAAGAGTTTTAAGATCTCTAAAATATGTGTACAAAATAAATTTACAGAAGTACTCTACACTGATAGTACAATACTCTAAACATTTGTAGTTTACCAAGTAGAATAAAAGTTAAAATATCAACACAATTAAAATGAATTTTGCTAGTAAGGTGGAGGGAATGATGCCTATATGGTACCTATTTTATGTATGGCTGGGTCCAGTTGAAATTTTTTATATTATTAACACCTAATTTATTTTATATTTGATTTGAATTAATATTTTCAGAGGTTATCCATTTTGCATAATTGTTTTGTTATTATAGACTACAGTACATTTATAATTAATTTGTTTTCCTAGAATGCATCTTATTTTTTCCATGGTTGATAATAGTATTCACTATGTAGTATATAATAATGTTTCTAGACTTGCACCCATCACATTATCTGGATTCTTCTATATGTATTTGTTTAACATGTTTCTAAAAGTTACTGGAAGAGCTTATCAGTCAACATGGCTGTCAGGAGAATGTTTTCCCTCTAAGGCACATTTTTGAGTCATAAGAGTGCAGCCTTTGTCCTCTAATGGACTGCATGCCTAGTTTTAAGCATGCCCCTGCTTAACTTTGTAATAAGATAAAGTAGTTGAAATTTGTCGAGAAACTGTTTTCAATGCTGTTAGTACTTGTACAGCATGTCTTGGTGGGTGTGACAAGCATTAGTGTAGCATATCTTGATGGCTGTGATATGCAGTAGTACTTATAGCATGCCTCGATGGCTCCGATGGCCATTAGTGTAGCATGCCTCGATTACTTAGATAGGCATTAGTACAGTATAGTGTGCCTTGGTGGCTCAGGTGGTCAGATTAGGACATTTAACATGGTTTGAAAAGACAGGTTCATAATCTGTGTTTTAAAAGGCATTATAGAAGCAATTGGGTAAGATTCCTTAAGCATTCATTACCTGTATGTAGACAGTCACAATTACGTGGTTGAAAATTATATAGAAAAGTTGTTTGGTGGGAAATTAGGAAAGGGCTTAGGTACTGTATACTGTATTTATGATAGTGTTGGTGGCAGTAATTTTGAAAGAAAGCTAAGTAAACTGAAATAATGTATTATTTATTGAGCTGAATAATCATAATAATCTTTTAACATGTTTGAAAAGTAGTATACTTGTCAACGGCAATGATGGTATTACACTGGTATACAGTGTTAAGCAGAAAATAGAAGTGGAAGATTTTTTATATTTTTTTTAAAAAGTCGATAAGATGGTAGTGACTATATACTGTACTGTGTATGTGTATATATATATATATATATATTTTTTTTTATAACCAGACAGAATTACTGTTTTATTCTTAAGGGAATATAATTTTTCTTTGTATTTGAGCTTATTAATAACTACAGTACTTAATTTCTTTCATATTATCTAAATATGTATGGTTATATTTTTTCTTATTAATGACACTATTTTTATTCCCTGTGCAGTAGTCCAATTCGATCTCCAGTGGTAGACAACGAGATTGTCATGATGAACACTTTGTACAAAGAACGCTTTCCAAAGGTAGGAATGTGATCTTTTGAATAGAAGTTCAAAGGTATGAAATCTCTAAAAAAAAATAATAAATGATATACTGCATTAAATCTTAACTTTTTAGATAAATGCGAAAGTTGTTTGTATGTGGTTATTACCTTGACAGGCCACACAACAAATGGAGGAGAGACTGAATACGTTCATCGAGGTTAACAAGGTTCTGGAAGTGGAAGGAAGTTCCGACATTGCCCAAGATGGCGTGGCAATTGCTCGCTTCGTCCACCATCAAGTGATAGAAATGGCCAAGGATTGTCTTCAAAAATCGCAAGAAAAACTGATAACGAGCAGATACTTTTATGAGCTCTCCGAAAACCTGGAAAAACTGCTGTGTGAGGTACGTTGCAGAAGTACTGTTGCATGAAATGCTAATACTTGCAATTGCAATTATTCAAATTGTAAGTATTTCATCCAGGTTCTTGTGCTATGCTTATTTGCAACAAAGCTCAACCCCTGAAGTGTACAACTATACAGAGGTAGGTAGGTAGGTAGTTACAGGATGATCTATGCTCATGATATCCTGTCTTCCCAGGACTCTTGTCATATAAGGCTTTGAAACAACAGACGGTTTTGGCATTCACTGCCTTCTTACCTAACGTGTTCCAAAAATATACTACTCCATTGGCAAAGGAGAACTTTCTAATATTTTGTTGGCACCTCTGTTTCCTTAGTTGGAATCTATAACCTCTTGTTCTTGAAGTTACTGTACATATTTCAAGAATTCCTCCTCATCAGTTTTGTCGGTTCCAGTTACTGTTTTGCATGTAGTATTCATGTCACTTCAGTTACTTTCTAGTTTTGGCATACAGTATTTAACACCTCTAGCCTCTCATCATAGTTATAGTTTTTCAGTTCCGAAAGCCATTTCGGAGTATATCTTTGGAACTTTTCCAGTTTTTTTATATTCTTTCTTGAGGTATGGGCACCAAACAACTGCGGCTTATTACAGTCTTGGTCTCCCAAAAGTTGTGAACATTTTCTTTAATATTTCACTATCCATGTACTTAAAATTAATTCTGAAGTTGGAAGGTATAGTATATGCTCCTACCACAATCTTTTTTCTGGTTCTCTGGTGACGGTCTACTATCCAGAACCACTCCTAGATTTTTCTTATCAGTTCTTTAATGCCTTTTCATATAATTTGTAGATTGTGTGTGGCCTATTTTCTTTTATTTCATTTTCCAAAACATGGCATTTATTCACATTGAATTTCATTTGCCAAGTGTTGCTCCATACATGTACTTTGTCAGGGTCATCTTGAAGAGCAAGACAGTCGTCAAAGTCTCTCGTCTTCCAACAGATACGTAGATTTTTTATATAGACGATGCACATTACTGGTGCAAGAACCGAGCCCTGTAGTACCTCACTCATAACACGCCTCCAGTGTGATTCATTCTCTTTGAGTGTATGAGTGTAAAATAATTACCTATGCACTAGGATTCATGCATGTACTTATTATAGTATTGATAATAAAGTAGATAACTCATTAAGAAATAAGTTTTAAATTTTCAATTAATTTCGTTTAGTGTTTGTGCAATATCTGGAGGATGCCTTTGCATTTGACCTGTCATATGTATGATGGTATGAGGAAGATCCCTATCATATTGAGGCCATAGCCCCATTGTGGCAGATTCTAAGTTACTAAAATCATTTGGGAGTGACCTTGGTAGCAAGTATAACTGTAAATTACAGTATATAACTGGAGCATGTGGAAATTTGTTTAATTTAGCTGGTATATGAACAAGGTTAACGGGCAGTATCATGTGTAATAATTAATCTCATTTCAGTGAATCTAGAGCATTATAATTTTAAAGTATTTGCATATATATATTAGATGTTTTTATTCAGTACATGGTATTAAACACAGTCCTTTGCAATTATAGGATTGCTACATTAGTTATTCACCATAATGGAGTGCTGTACACATGTATGGTATGGATGTGTTAGTAGGATGCATGAGAAGTGCACATAAGAGGGTCATATTGTAAAGGCAGACAATCAGGAGCTTGGAATGGAAAGTGGAAGATTTTTTGAAAGAAAGGGTCTGGAGAGGGATTAATAAGCTTGATAGTGACATGTTTTTGTAATGTGGAGAAATTTCTGCTGTTGCCACTAACTCACTTTTAGGAGGAAGCCATACACTGGGGCTATAGATATAAAGAATTGCTTTGTAGCTTTCTTAATACATAATTTGCTTTATTTCAGACTCGTGACAAATCGCCAGATGCTGCTGCACATCTCACATCCCTTATAAAGAAGCTGCTTCTTATTGTATCTCGACCAGCCAGACTCTTGGAATGCTTGGAGTTTGATCCTGAAGAGTTCTACCATTTACTTGAGCAAGCCGAAGGTCAGGCTAGAACCAGCCAGGGCATCAAAACGGACATTCCTCAGTATATCATCACTAAATTGGGCCTCAATAGAGATCCCTTAGCTGGTGAGTGGTTGCAACTTTTGACTAACAAACAAGCATGATTAGTCTGATCAAATCTTAAATATTTAAAATTAATTTGATTGTAATTCTTGTGGTAATTTTTGTACACTAAGACCTTATGATAAGTTAAGATTTTTAATTGGGAATCTTGAAATAATAATAAACAAAATGTAATTGTTTATAGAGCTGAGTGATGACTTGGCGGGGGATGGTGATGCAGAAGACAGCACAGGAAGTGGCACAAGTGCAACCAGTGGGGCGACAACTCGAAAAACTTCCAATTCAGAATACTCTCCGGGACAGTCTTCCACCTACTCCTCAAGTCCACCTTCTAAAAGCTCTCCTAAAGAAGAGGATTATGAGAATGTTAAACTCATATCCAATGGAGCATACGGAGCAGTTTATCTTGTTCGACACAAAATCAGTAAAGAGCGGTTTGCCATGAAGAAAATCAGCAAGCACAACCTAATGCTTAGAAATCAGGTATGTTAAAATATGCTAATTATCAAGGTAGGGAATCATGGCCAGGATGACACTTTATAGACTAATAGCTAACAATGGATCAGTTTGGGATTAAATTTTGTGGAAATATTATATTAGGCCAGTGAATTTGTCATGGTACACATTTAGAGATTTGTAATTGTCAGAGCAAAAGTCAACATTTATGTTAGACAGTGTATTTATGTGGGCAAAAATAATGCAAAAATGGTCGAATGAATTTGGATGAAATTGATAAGGAATACTGGGCCATTGGTAGAAAGTATATGTTAAGAATTTTTTTTTTGTAGTGTATTTCTTTCACTATTTTGCATTAACCTAACTCAGAAATTACTCTTTATGATTCGAATTTGTTTTAAATGTAGTAACTAGTCTGACATATTGCATGTACATTGTTACATACCATCCTGAGCCGTCCTTCCCCAGGGGGGGGGGAGGAAGGGTATGGAGAGTTTTGGGGCATTGGCAGAGATGGGAGTGTTGAGGACTGAGGGGAGTAGAGAAATGATGATATTGGGAATGGAGGTGAAGGGGCGGGGAGGGTTGAGATAAATCAAAATATTTTTCTTTCTTTGAAATATTATCATAAATTATTCTTGCAACATTGAGTCTAGCTATAGTTTCTTCAGCTGATATTATGATTACGTCTTCTAGACTCGAATATTGAAACTTCTATGGCAGCGTTTGAAACACGGAAAAGTCTACTCATTGGTTTGGCTTTAAATGAAGGACTTGTCTATAAATTTTGGTATTCATGCATAACATGGAATATGCAATGTAGAATGAATAAATTACACTAATTTGTTGCTAAAATAATTTTTTGCCAAATATAAGTAAAATGTTAATGAGAATAAGAGAAAATACTCTAACATGTGAATTATTTCTTGATGACCTAGTTGATACTCAATACTAATGTAAATGTGCTGTATTGAAGATCACACGACGCCTACAAATCTCACGAATTCTGTCTTTCAGGTGGAGCAGGTTTTCAACGAGCGTGATATAATGAGCTTTACAGACAATCCCTTCGTGGTATCGATGATATGCAGTTTTGAAACCAAACGACATTTGTGCCTAGTAATGGAGTATGTTGAGGGTGGAGACTGTGCGATGTTGCTCAAGAGCATGGGGCCTCTTCCACCAGACATGGCCAAGTTCTACTTTGCTGAGACTGTATTAGCGGTTGAATACTTACATAGGTTTGTTACCCAGTGTTCATTTGAGTTTAAAATTAAGAAATATTTTGAATGTTCTTGAATGTGTTTTGTGCTATTCCACTCAAATGCTCCACTGAAGGTCCCATTGGACAGATCATAGTCAGTTTGCTTCAGTGCAAATGGGGATCTTTTCAAACATTAATGTTGTCATATTGCTTCTAGGGAGGCATTTTAATGGTGGTGTATCTCTTGGATTGCAGTTGGCTGAAGACTTTAAAAGGGGGTTCTCTAATTTTGTTACATTCTTCACCAGTTAAAAAATTTCTGGGTTCGGTTTACCTTGGCCGTGATAGATACAGTGGAACCTCTATTAACGAGTTTAATCCGTTCTGGCACCGAGCTCGTTACCTGGAAAACTCGTCTTTGGAAACAAATTTCCCCATTTAAAATAAAGGAAATAAATTTAATCCGTTCCACTCCCAAAAACATCCATACTTGTATGACTTTTTTTTATGTAAATATAATACTGCACATGTAAATATAAATGTTTTGTTGTAGTGTTTTAATATTTACTTTACCTTATGAAGAGTAGTTGCTGGCTTGAGGGAGACAATGGAGAGGTGGGAAGGAGGAGAGGGGTTATGGTGTGGAAGGAGAATCCACCTCTGAGTCAGGCGGACTCTCTCTTCTTGGGAATTTCACCCAAATTTCATTTCAAATGTCACACAAGGATGCGTTAGACCAGCACCAAATAAAAAACTACGTTGATTACACTCGTTGTGTCAACAATATAATAGTCTTACCCCGAAGATAGAATACAATGCCGTTTTCTCAAATAGGCAATGTGGTTATTAATGAAAACGGAAATTTCATGGCAAACTTGTATACAATCCCCAAGTCAATCGGATAAGAATTGGATTTTATAGAAATATTTGCTCAAATGACGCTTGAGCGCGGTGTTTGGGAACATTCAAGAGAAAAAAAGTGTGTTATGTTCAAGCGACATATACCTGCGAAAGTGATAACACTTTCATAAAGTGTTATCACAAAGTGATAAATTAATTAAACATTTTCACACACCGGGTTGTCATTGCTTTATCAGGGCAGCTTTTCCAAGAATGCGTTCACCTTTTCAAACATTCCAAACACTTCCCTGATCTCAGTTTAAGAGGCAGCATCCTCCCTTACCTCCTCATTCCCTTACTAATGGTGTAAATTGTTGATGAGGACCTGCCATACTTCCTTGTGAGATCAATCACACAGACACCACACTCATGCTTTGCTATAATTTCCTTCTTTAAATCCACAGTAATTGTGTCTTTCTTCCTCTTGACAACACTATCTTTAGCAAGCAGCTTCTTTGGAGACATCGTTTGTTACAAATTGTAGTCGCAAAACCACTAAAAACCCAAAGAAAAACTCAAATAAATCCAGAGGGATGCTTGTCGTGTGAGATACAACAACAACACTGGCGTCGGAGGCGTCCGAGAATTTGCGAGAACCCGCGAGACGCTAGGAAGCGCCATGTGGTTTCACTCGTTAATAGAGGCGAGCTCGTCAATAGAGACAAATTTGCTGCGAGTGGCTTGCTCGTTACTGGAAAAACTCGTTAATAGAGCCACTCGTTAATAGAGGTTCCACTGTACTGGATACAAAGTCCCTAACTCATGCTGAAAGTGTTGATAAATAGCTAAAGAGAGATGGATGCCTGTCTAAAGGACCAAACTTTTTAAAAATTACCAAAGAAAACTGCAGAATGGAGTGTTCTGTTGGCAATTTTTAGGGGGTTTGTTTGTTTAGGCAGGCATCAATTTCTCTCTAGCCATCTACCAACACTTTCAGCATGAATTAGAGACACTGAATCCAGTATCTACCATGCAGGCCAAGAGCACTGGTCTCTGGTGTTATGGGATTGCATCACTGGTTAGGAAATGCTGCCTTTTTATTTTGATTTGGTGCATCCCTCTTTTGATAGACTCCACCATCCATCTCTATTCCTATAGTGTATCTGTTGGATTCTACCTCAGCCAGTCAGTCTGTCAAGTTGCAACCATTGGACGTCGGATAAAACCTCTCTTCTGTCTTCTTCCGATTTAGTCCTCAGAGTTGTCTACATTAGAAGGATGATGATAGTCATTGGATGACCTTTCCAAGTTTTATCTGATTTGGTCTGAGTGGGAAGTGGTTTAAGGCCTCATTCCTATGGATCTGAAAAATATTCAGCATTTCCCAGGTGGATATTTTCCTAAAATTTCTAGACTTTTTTTGCCAGTCCTGTCAAAGGTAGAGAGTTTTGTGGGTCTCCTAGTCTTACTCCTAGTCTTCTCCAGGTTTCCCAGCCTTTTCTTTCCCATTTTTTTTTTCCTTTACGCAGATGATTTAGCCCTGGTGTTACACACACATCCAGGCTCTCAAGCATCTTCACATGTTGATCTGGCTGAATGATCCACGACACAGTAGTTCACCACTGTGCTTTCTGTTCAACCATCTAAGCTCAGGTTTCCTTACCATCCTATCAGCCCTTCATCACTCGCTTCCTCTCCAGGATCCTCTGTCTGCACCATCGATGTTTTTGCACTTTGATGCTCCTCTTCAGGTAATCTGCTTTGCTCATGTTGGATTCATTCTGTGGGTGTCCTACAGTAGCTCTACTGTGTCTTGTCTCCTGCCTTCCCTGGTCGATGACCGAGCCGCGGGGACGCTTAGCCCCATAAACACCTCAAGGTAACCTTCCCTACAACTATTGGAGACCCCTAATATACAACTCAAAATTAATTTTTGCTTTGGGGAGCATTATAATGGATAGGTCAGAACTTAGCCTTTTTGAGTGAGTATGAAAATTCATTTCAGATAGACAAAAGATGCTCCAGTTTATTCATTCAAAAACCCTGATTTCCCTGTGTGACTATTTCTTTGTCAATAATAATTTGATGGGGCTCAAGACAGTGGACTTGAGACTGGTATAGGTACTGGTGGTGATTTGTGAGAGGGGTTCCTTGGCTGTCCATGATGTCAAGTTGGGCTTGAAAAGGCTTTTGAATGCATTGGGGAAACTTTCTGTTTTCATTTAAATATATATTGAGTCTTTTTCCAATTCTTCTAGCATGTATATGACTTAGTAGGGCCATTCCAAACAGCTCTTTGCTGCATTTCCGTGACTCTCTTGAACCTATCCAGTGGTACCTTCAGGACGCCTTGGGAAGCTTCAGTGTCTTAATCGGGAAGGAGATTTTCTTTTGAACTCGATCTTGTTTTTTTCTTGCAATCAAGATATTAGAGAGTTCACCCATTTTATCAAAGCAGACAAATTATACAAAAAATGCATTTCTTAACTTTAGAAAAAGTGAAATCTTAGGTTATTTTTATAATATTGGTATTTTAAAATGTTATTTTACTGTTTGCTGCATTTAATTGAAAAATCTCTCTTTTTAGCTATGGCATTGTACACCGGGACTTAAAACCAGATAATCTGCTCATCACTGCTCTTGGTCACATAAAACTGACGGACTTTGGCCTGAGCAAGATGGGCTTAATGTCACTGGCGACTAATCTTTATGAAGGCTATATTGATAAAGAGACACGGCAGTTCTCGGATAAGCAAGTCTTTGGGACCCCTGAGTACATTGCACCTGAGGTTATATTACGGTAAGTTTTTATAATGCAAAAATATTTGTATAACTGAGGTTCAGCTGTGACTATTCAAGTTGGTTTTTCATGCTTTGTTTTTAAAATATGTAAATTTTCATTTATATCAACAACTGACTCGGTTTTTGGGTAGTACATATTATAAACTTAGTTTGAATAAATGAAAGGTAAACAATTTGATTTTTTTTTTTTTTTTTTTTTTTTTTTTTTTTTTTTTTTTAAATGGAGAACTTGTAAACCCCCCAAAAATATAAATGTAAGCCACTGAGGTGGCTTCTCAGTTATCCTTCTAACCTAATAACTGCTTGCTGGAGCCATGCTGAATATACCAGGTTCCTGTGACTGGCTTTACCCATCAGGGCCAAGCACCTTATAAAGCTATCTTGATAACTCAGTTTGGTATGAGTTGCATATGGAATAATAGATCAATTCACTACTGGGCTGAATCACTCACTAAAATAGAATGAAAGTAAAATAATTCTTGACCTTCCTCTGAGTAATGTTTAACGACACTCAAAACCTAACGGAACACTGCAAAATTATGAGACAAGCACCCCATACTTGAACCGAAGTGCACCTATTTTCCTTAGTTATTTTCGAAGTGCACCTATATGCACCTTACCAAGTGCATTGGGAAGAAGAGAGAACACTGTGGAAATGTAGTAGCTACTGCAGGGCCACTCGCTCAAAGAGAGACATTTCATTACTTTTGGCACACTGTTTCTGGTGTAGGCTTGTTAGTAGCTCCCTGGGCTTGTCCATGGTACCTTCACTAGATAAATTTGTCAACAATATCTGACCTATTAGTATAAATATCAAAAATTGAAATCAAACTCATGAAAGGGACTTGCATGATGAGACTGCCTGCAGGAGCCAGGGAAAGGGTTACCTTACCTCTGGGGTGAACGGGTTAAAATGAGGATGAAATTGACGAGTGTTGGCGTTCAGGAAAAGGAAGAGGATGGTGATGTACAGTATACAGCTCTGTGTCAACTAGACTAGCTATAGATTGGCATAGATCTGTAAAGCAACCAGGCTTGCTATGGGTCGGCACAATTCTGGGATCGGAGAATAGGGCTTTAGATCAGCATTAAGCTGCCTACCCGACAAGGAAAGGTAGTGTCTTCATGGAAAAACTGGTTAGTTTTTAAGAAGTACTAGACCAACCAGTCTGTAGTGGATACTTGGGCCTGCAGGCCACTCCAAGCAACATCCTGTTGGATTAAGCTCTCACACGTCGAACCTGGCCCCGGGCCGGGCTTGGGGTGTAAAAGAACTCCTAGAACCCCATCAAGGTACAATCAAGGTAGTGTGTGTGTACAACACACAGGAACAAGGCTAGATTGCAACAGTTTATAAACAAGGAACAATGCTAGATGGCATCAGATTGTGAAAGGGAAACAAATGCTTGTTATGCTTTATGAAGCTGTGGAAGCTTTCCTGTAGTGTGGTGCTGACTCACAAAGATAAATGGTGTGTGATTCATGGTCATTGGACAGTTATCGTCCCATAACATCTCTTGGGATGATGGGATAATAGTGGATTTCCTTGTGTAGATTATATGTTTGACACTACATACTGTATGTAGTCAGTAATCAGATAGTCAGTAAGTTGTAAGTACAGTACAGTATAACTATATTCAAAGTTAATTTTGATATGTATTTACTGTTATGAGTTATGGAGAAGTAATCTTCATTTTTAGTTTTTAGCGAAGGAAATCGTATGCAGTTTTCCATACTCAGAATGTATAAATTTAAGAGGGAATTACTCATACTATGAGAGCTATGAACTGAGGAATTGTGTATCTTCCAGACAGGGGTATGGCAAGCCTGTGGACTGGTGGGCTATGGGAGTTATTCTCTATGAATTCCTGATTGGGTGTGTACCCTTCTTTGGAGAAACACCCGAGGAACTCTTCGCGCACACAGTGAACGATGACATTGAATGGCCAAGTGAGGAGGATTGGCCAGTGCCTAGTGATGCCAAGGACCTGATAACTGCTCTGCTTCACCATTCGCCATTGGATCGGTTAGGGACTGTAGGCGGAGCATTGGAGGTTAAGGAACATCCATTCTTTATTTTCGTCGATTGGGATTCACTTCTGAGGATGAAGGCAGAATTTGTACCACAACTAGATAATGAGGAGGACACTAGTTACTTTGACAGTAAGTTGGTGCCTTTGTGAACTGTAAATGGGAATGTTAATAGGTAGAGATACATGTAGTATAATCCTGCAGCTGCACAGAGGTGCTTGGGAGGTTACCTTTTACATGATGCTTCTGTTCATCTAGTAGTAAAAAAGTAACTGGGAGTCAAGTAACTGTTGTGGGTTTCATGCTGGGTAAGATTGGTGTAGTAGTAAGCCTAGGGGAAACCTTGAGAAGTCTAAACTGGCTTTCTGCCTCCGACTGTGGGAAAGCATATTGCAGAATTGGTATAGAGTATTAGGTCATTAAATGTATATGATCAATAGAAACATAATCCTTTTTTCTTATACCATTAATTATCTGTATCAAATGTCATAAAAAGTACTGTACTGTATATGGTAAAATTGCATTGAAATAATAGTTTTGTTTATCATTAGTAAAATTGTTTTTCTTTGCAGCACGTCTGGATCGGTATAACCATGAGTTGGAGGAAGATAGTGAAGAGGGAGGGGAAGGTGGAGCATACCCATCGTTCTCCTCCTACTCTCCAAGGTATCACAAATTTACTTCTTCACACTCGGCAGATGCCCCGCACCTAGATTCCAGTTTCCAGGTAAAGTGTCATGAATTAGTATTGCAGGATCAATGGTACAATTTTTTTATATTTGTAAATTTAAACAGAACAAATAATTTGTACTATGCATTGAAATAGACTAACACAGTCATTGCATTTCAGCATGTGGGCTTCTGCACCTTTCAGCACATAAGTACTAGTTTAATGCCCAGTTTCTGAGCTTTATCACTTAGTTATTTCTTTAAGCTAGATGTTGGTTCTGCCATGGGCTGGACTTGGACTATACACACTCAGGTCAAATCAACATTCTGCACTGATACCTGAGTTTTTGGCTGAGGGTAGAATGTTTTATATATTTTAGGGCATTGTTAGATAAAATGAAAATGTAGGAGATGAAATATGATGGCTATGGGTGGGAGAAGACTAGCAGGAAGGGACAATATTATAATTATGGAATGCAGGTATGGGAGATAAGAACTGGGAGATGGTGTACTATTCGGTCATGATATGTGGAAGTAAAACTGTAGTATGGAAAGGGACAGAGCTCAAAAGTAAAAGCAAGTTACTTTATATATATGTGTGTGTGTGTGTGTATGTGTATGTGTGTGTGTGTGTATATGTATGTGTATGTGTATATATTATTAATATACTTTATAGAAAAATAGCTGTTGTAAGTGGGTATATCCATGACGAAGTATATGTAGGATGGATGAAAAGGAGTGAGGAAATGTGTTGAGTGGCAGGCTGGGAAGCACACAATTCACACAAGCGTTATAGACATGTTGGATGGATTCACGAGTCATATTATAAGAAGGTTGTACAAGTGGTATAAGGGAATCACGTGGCAGAGGCAAATGACTAGTGTCCTGAAAAGGCAGAGTATGTAAAAGAAAAGTGGAACAGGGAAAGCTTGTAGAGAGTTTTTAAGAGGGAAATGTTTGTGCGGTAATTGTCACACGGAGAAACTTCTGCTGTGTCCACCACTTAATGGGGAGGTCTCGGAGGGAGTTAAGTACCAGAAGTATACATTGAAAATTGTCTAATATTTTGTTGAAATTAGAGTAAGTGAAATTTTGAACTTTAGATAGATCTTTTTCAGGAGTGTTAGTATTGCAATTGTTCTTACAACCAGATCTAAATGATTTTGGTGCCTGTAATCTTTCATTGGACAGGGGCTTGTTCAATATTCATGTTTTGAGCATTCAGGAATTAACTGTGTTCATGTTCACTTCTTATAAACGGAATAGGGTAATATTTTACGTGAGGATATGGGAGTGATATCTTGCATAATTTTATGAGTGCCATTTCACTTGAATATGGTTTCAGTGATAGTGGGAACATAGAGCAAGTCAAATGACATCTTAAACTCTAAAATGGAGTGCATAACTTGTCATATGATATACAGTATTTGATATCAAAAGGACTTAATAGGTTAATGATCTGCAATAATAAAATCTGAAAGATTGTTGCATTATTGAGTCTGGCCCCAGGCCCGGCTTGGGGAGAAGCACTCCTGAAACTCTCTCCGGGAATGCTTCGGGTACATTTGTTTCATTTTCAGGTAATATTTTACATGCATATTGCCATGTACAATATCATGCATAAAATAAATTCACAAATTTCCAACATGGCTGTTCAGTATTCCTTAATTTTGTTAAAGTGCAGTATGTAGTGATCTTTTCATTAATCTTGTATACTTTGACCTGAGAGTAGGCTGGTATCCTCTGACATTTTGCAGAGAGAGAGAATGTTGAACATGACAAAAGCATAATAATATTTAAACATTAAAATTGCAGAACGAGACTTCAGGTGAAGGAGGGCATGAGGGGACAGATAGAGGGAGGGCCATTGTGTCCCGTGGAGACTCTGGACACAGTGACCAATCGGAGTCATCGCGCTCCACACTAGAGTCCTCTACTAACACACCAGATAATGAAAATCAGGACCTTCCTGTTACACCAGATGTGTAAGTTATTCTAACATTGATGTTTAGCTTAAAATTAGTTTTGCATTTTGCTGTTCATAATTGTAAATTAATGTTCATATGTTAAAGTACAGATGTCATGCATGTAATAGCTGTATAAATATGTATGTGAACATTATACAGTATACATATTCTTGCATGTTGGGAAAGTAAATGTCGTGTAAAATGGAGAAATGTAGATAAAGAAATAGGTAAATAATGGGTCAAAAATGGGTTTGAAATATATATTACTAAACCTATGGAGTGGAATTGGGTAAAAAATTTACAGGAAAGTTTTAAGTGCATGCTAGATAAATAATGTTGGAATGGGCAACTAGTGATAAAATCCGTAGGAGCCGCTCATTGTTAAATCGTGTTAGTGTGATTAGTAGTAGGCATCCATCAGTCTCGGGAGACTATGGAGTTGTGCTCTGGTTGTCGGTCTGGAGTAGCCTCTCCAGGGTAGGTTGATACGGGGGAGAAGCTGTCACGCATGCAGCAGGTCCCCCCTTTTCCATGGCGCTGAAAGTCTCCGATGGCAAGGCAAACGCCAATATGATTAGTTCCAGCGCCATTGCAGGAACTGTCAGAACGAGGTTGACGGCTGATTACTCTCTGGGCTACTAGTATAAAAGTTGTCTCACATTAATTAATAGACTGTTTTTCATTGTGTTGTATTTTTTAATGTTCTGGAGTGGCTAAAATATAAAGACGAACTTACACCCTTATGCGGCAGGCGTTGCAGGTTCCTAATCTGCTCCCATGTGCATCAGGCGACTCAAGTTCAGACGAGTGAGGGGTAACTCGTGAATTATTTCATACTTAATCATTTTAAATTTACTTTTTATTTCTAAATCAATTCATGGTTTAGAAGAAAGTGCTGATATTAATTTATTTGCATCACTGAAAGTAATAAGATGCTTAATGTGAATCTTGATGCCATTTTGTGAATGTGAAGTAAGTGTAATGTCAATGTAGGAAGAGGTTTTCAATAGTTAAGTGTCTTGCAACCTGAAATTTGAAAATATAGAAATACATGAGAAATAGTAGTCATAAAGTAGTCATAAGTCAAGTAGTCATAAGTAGTCATAATGTCAGTGTAATAGGAAATAAGTGTCTAACAGTTGTTTGTAATAAACAAGAGAGATAATTAAGCTGGGATAGTTAGAAGTAAAAGCTTGGAGGAGGAGTTAGTGTTAATATTGATGACAAGAAGTAAGGCAAACTAGGAGAAAATTCAGCAACTCTACTATATTCTGTTTAAGCTTTGTCTTGTGGAGAGATGATGATAAATAGTATTTTGAGATATTTAAGTGTTAGAAATTGTGGAAACTTGGAGATAGATTGAAAGATACATAGAAAAAAGATAAATAAAGAAGTAGCAAGTCCCTCGTGACACAGTGGTAAAACACTCGCCCTGTGCTTCGCGAGCGCTTTGGCCTGGGTTTGTATCCTAGTCAGGGAGGATTGACTAGACACCGATCCTTAACTGTATGCCTCTGTTCACCCAGCAGTGTCTGGATGCCTGGTTGTTAAGTGATTTGGTGGGTCGTTTTTTTCAGGGGAAAACTGGGATTAAGGACCTGCTCAAAATGCTATGCATGCTAGTGGATTTACAAGAATGTAAGAACGTGTGTATATATATATAAATAAATAAATAAATACAAACTAATAAGTAATTACAGTGTAAAACTCAGTAATATAGATATATACTATTGATGAAAGTTAACTGAATTGCTAGAATGTTAAATGTGTATCCAAGTTGATTCTGCAGGAGGATGGCTCCTGTTGAACTTAGTCTATACCTGTGTTTCTGCTTGCTGTCTGGGGGAAGCCCCTTTGGCTTCCCGGAGCTAACCTGGCTGATATGAATGTATTAGATCCCTGACATCAGTCAGTGTGCATGGAGTTCTAGACCTACCAGGGACCACGAGCCAGAACCTGGCCCTCTCGGAGAGGCACGAGGAGCAATGGCCTATAGAAACCCCCATGTGGTTGGAAGCATTCTATCTGCCATCGACCAGGTCAGGCACCCTGAAAGGTAAGTGCCCCAAAACAAACCCCTATTCTGGTTAAAATATTACTACTGAAAGCTGAACTAGTGGACAGAACTCGCCAAATGAAAATGAGCATGACGTTACCATGTCACCGTGCCGCTGTCTGCTCACCCTCTCCTCCCTGGGAGATTATCTTGAGGTTATCTTGGAAGGGGGAAGGGGGAGCCCCAGACTCTCGTGCAGCTATCCACCCCACAGTTCTGCAGCTGATGTGAATTGGCAAAGTTGTGTGTCTCTGGCTCCTATGTTCCAGTTCTGTGCCTAGTGGTGTGGTGCTGTCTTATTGGAGGTGTGTGAGCCAGGAATTATTTCACAAGTACTTGGGCTGCATGCACCTAGGGTCCCCTTCCCTAGGTGCCCTGTAAGTACTGCCCTTGAGGCTTGGAGCCACCTTCCACAAGTCACCTTGGGGTCTATCTCCACAAGGTCTTTTGCTGTTTGGTGATTGACCACCCTTGGAGTCAGCTGGGGTGTTTTTGCACTCCTGTTTGCCTCTGGGTAGGGGGTAGTTTTGTCACTGGTTGGGGCGCAGAGTACTGTGCAGATAGTTTTGACCTCTCATAGCATCTGGCTCTGTTACGAACTCCTCCATAACCGGATTCTTTTAAACCCTAGGATCCTTCTCAAGTTCAGAGATCCCAAATCTTGGTGGAAATGCAGTGTAATGTTTAATGTAAGAAATAAAATTGCACTTAAAACTATCACTTATTATTATCTACAACTATATACACACCTCTGACAAGGTCTTCAGTGCAACACTAGCCCTCACGCTAGCTGCAGTTATAGTGATGTCTTCAATCTCCCCACTAGCCCACTTGCTAGCATGCTCAGTGAAGTCTTCCAGTGCTCCACTAGCCCTCTGGCTAGCACACCCAAAAGGTGAAATCCTCAGTGCTCCACTAGCCTTCTGGCTAGCACACCCTAACTGAGGCATCCCAAGGTCAACTTGTGTACTGCTTCACTCTCTCTCTGCTTCACTGCTGTCTGTCACCAATCACCGGTACCTCATCACTTCCCAGAACAGCATATTAGAAGATAGGGAAACTAAGATAAATGGGAGGGTCAATTGTTTAACTCAGAACCTGGATCATAGATGGAGCCGAGGTCCGTGACACTCCTGGGCACGTTGTCCTCTTGCGGGGGTTTTCTTTTGTTTTTGTTTTCCTGCCTGGTGGTGGGGGGGGGTGTCTGCCCCATGGATTTGGTTACACCCATTTATATCATGGTGGTCCTTCACTAGACCCCAGTGAGTGTACACATCTCTGGGGGTTCAGCTTTAGCAGTTTGATTGGTAACTTTAGGCGCTGGTTAGCAGTACCCTTCCTGGGCTTTCCTTAGCGAGATTACTCGACTAAAGACCCTGGGAAGACCCGCGGGGTTTCTTTGGTCCAATGGATGCGACCCCTGGGCCCCTCTCGCTTCATGCGAGTTTGAAGGTTGCTCTGTCTCCTTGTCTCAGGGTGACACTCGCTGTTTATGCCTCCATCTTGCTGCCTGTTGGGTCAGTGACACCTTCCACCCGGAGTCCTGCGAGCTTTGTTTTTTGTTTGTACTCAAATACACCCAGTCCACTGATCATGATCTTCGGGTGCAGGCAGCTTTGGTGTTGCATGCTCGGTTTAGGCTGCTGCAATACGCTACCTTGAGGCTACCTTGAGGTGCTTCCGGGGCTTAGTGTCCCCGCGGCCCGGTCGTCGACCAGGCCTCCTGGTTGCTGGACTGATCAACCAGGCTGTTAGACGCGGCTGCTCGCAGCCTGACGTATGAGTCACAACCTGGTTGATCAGGAATCCTTTGGAGGCCGCTAGGTCGGTTGCTATCCCGGATGCCCCGAGACTGCCCCAAGACATTGTTGTCGCATTGCAGCCAGTTGTTTCGACTTCACGTTGAGGAGCAAGGGCCCGACTGCCTTCTGGGTAAGTCCTCTTGTTTTGTCTTTGGGTAAGTAGCTCCAGAGAGCTGAAGGGGCTCCCACTCCCCAGAAAACCAGTGTTGAATGTAATAAAACACCAGTGTCTGGGTGAGACCAGGAGGCTCCCCGGCATCCCTCCCTCCCTCCAGTCTGTGTTTTTTCGCGGTTTTTGACATCCAGCCTCAGAACTGTGGGGTGGATAGCCAGTGTGGGGGTCTGGGGCTCCCCTCTTCCCCCCCAGGGAGGGGGGGGGGGAGTTGCACAGAAAGTGGCGCTGTGACGGGTGATGTCATGCTTGTTTGCTCTTTTTTTATTTGGGGGGTTCTGTCCACTAGTTCAGCTTTCAGTAGCAATATTTTAACCAGAATAGGGGTTTGTTTTGTGGTGCATAACTTTCTGGGTGCCTGACATGGTTGATGGCAGACATAGAATGTTTCCAATCACACAGGTTTCGATAGGCCATTGCTCCTCGTGCCTCTCTGAGGGGGGCCAGGTTCTGACTCATGGTCCCAGGTAGGTCTAGAACTCCATGCGCATTGACAGAGGTCGGGGATCTAATATATTCATATCAGCTCCGAGGAACCTCCGGGTCCTGCCCATTAACTGGCATTTCATTACATTCAACGCTGATTTTTTTTAAGGATGCTTGCTGAACTCTATACTTCTTACAGTAATGTATGGAATACTCTTTCAGTTACTTCTATATCAGTTTTCATTCACCTTAATTGAATAATGTTGTATATTTTGTCTTTATATCTAGCTCTTTTTTTTTCTGAGGGGAGCCCCTATGGCTCCCTGGAGCTTATCGGGCTAATGTATTTGATATTAGACCGGGACATTAGCTATGGAGTTCAGACCTACCAGGGACCATGAGCCAGAATCTGGCCTCTTTAGAGAGGTTTCAGGGAGCAATGGCCCTGGAAACCCCCCCCCCCTCCTTGTGGTTGGGAGTTTCCCTTATCTGTCATTGACTGGGGTTAGGCGTCCAAAAAGGTAGGCATAACAAAACAAACCCCACATGGTAAGAAACTAAC